TTTTAGAAATCCCAAGGCTAAATTTTTTTTACCTAATATTCAAAGGGTCATTTAATCAGACATGAACCTATTGCAAATATGACCTCTTTATAGTAAAACAAGTTTAAAAACAATTCCTAATGTCACCCAATTCCAGCATGGCCAGACAGCCCTCATGCTGGCCGTCTCCCACGGGCGGCTGGACATGGTAGGCCTCCTGGTGGCCGCAGGAGCCGAAATCAACATCCAGGATGAGGATGGCTCGACGGCCCTCATGTGTGCTGCTGAGCACGGACACTTGGCCATCGTCAAGTTCCTCCTGAGCCAGCCTGATACCGATCCCACACTTATGGATAATGTGAGTTGGATTTTGTTTTCTTTTGGGGTAGGGTAGGGCATGGTAGGGCAAAGATAAGGGGGAGGAGGAGAATGGTAGTCGGGATGCAATTTCACGAATGGTCATTTGTGCTAAATCTCTGCATCACTAAGGTTTCGGAATTGCCAGTTATTTTTCCCAAGTTTCCCATATACACCATCTGAATAATCGATTCCATTTATTTATTTAATTCCCCTATTTTCCTCCAGGATGGCAGCACAGCTCTCACCATAGCCGTGGAAGCAGGACACAAAGATGTGGGCGTGTTATTGTACAAGCACATGAACCTCTCTCGTGGGTCCTCACCCTATTCCTCTGTCAGGTGAGAAGGCGGTTGATGCTGTGAGGGGGGATGGGGGAGGGGAGGAGCGAGGGAATTATTGGGGGGAAAAAAGATGGAGTTAGGCCTAGGTGAGAAATAGAAGATGGAAGGGTAGGGAGGGAGGGAAGGAAAGGGAAGAGAAGAGAAGGAAAGGAAAGGAAAGGGAAGGGAAGGGAAGGATAAAGACAAGATGGAAAGGTAGGAAGGGATAGAGGTGGACATAATTGTCATCACTGCATCATCTTCATCTTTGTAATCATCGTTGTCATCATCACCATCATCGCCATCACCATCGCCATCATCAACAACAACAACATCCTTACCATCAATATCACGATTATTGATATCAGTATCAGTAATCCCCATCTCTTCTACCCCCCTCCAGAATCAAGCGATCGCGCACCCCGACCATGTCCCGGTCTTCAGTCACGCCTCCCCCAAGGTCCTCGGCGCCTTCCTCCCCCGGCCGCTCCAGAAAATCCTCGGCGCCGCACTCCCCGGGCCGTTCCAGGCAGAGCTCGGCCTCCCTGTCCAATCTCATGATCTAGGGCAGGAGTTTTTGTGTTGTCTCTCTCGTTTGTATGTGATTTTTTTTCTCTCTTCGTACATGTGTAAAGTTTTTTATGTTTTTTTCTTTCAAACTCTCCAGTGGAGAAATCAATGCAGGAGCTTTATAAAGTCCATATATCTATAGCTAAAGGTCTAGTGATGAAAACTACAAGGATAAAGATGACGACTTTTGGTGCTTACTGGTTGCCGCCCTTACTTCTAGAAACTCGTTAACACTCCGAACTGCATTCCGGGGGATCTGATCCTGTTACCAACACCGTTTAATTTCTGTGCTGTTGGCCCTTATCTCCCTCAAATCATACATGAAACCCCTAACTCAGAACTTAAATGGCTTTACGAACGGTGCTCCTATTAACAGCAAAAAAGCCATAAAAGCACAAGCAGTTTGTTTCTCTTTACATTAGAGCTTGAGGATTGCATTTATGTTGCGTTCCATTGTGAGAGCTTTGTCATGAATTATTGATTGTAGTGATGCTGACATTTCCGTAAAGGGTTCAGGCCTAAAATTATGAAGGTCTCTTGTGTTGTGTATTTTTTATGATAATAACACTATATTAATTACACAACAATAGCGTATACTTTCTTAATCATATCTTACTCAACGAGAGCGTATACTTTCTTGATCCATATAGACCTGGCTTGTGCTTCCGCCACAGAAGAATAATCCTCTGTTGGGTTATTATTAGGATAACAAGAGTCACAATTAAAGTAGGATAAGTTGGTAAGTCTGCAGTCATATTTATTCCAAAAGGTAGAAAGTTATAAGAGGGAGGATCTCTACTCAGTGGCACTGAATATGACCAAAGGAGGTCTTTTCTACAGGTGCTTCTTCGGCGAACTTGTGACTTCACAAATGGCCCACTGTCTTGCCTCCTGTATGAAGTCCTTTTATACTCTTTTGGTATAGGACCGTATGTGTGAAGAGGAAAGAAGAAAAAAAAAAGGATTTAAATGTAACAGGATTGCTGAAAGAAATGAGGGAGGAAGGAAAGGAAAAAAGAAAGAGAGAAAAAGAAAGGGATGAATGGGGGAGGAAGAAAAGAAGCAAAGGCAGAAAAAGGAAGGACTGAAGGTCTTATTGTGATAATTTATTTACTGACTGAAGTTTGTTTATGATCTTGGTGTATTTTTCCATGGAATGTATTTATTTTGTTGTGTTGAAAGTATTGATGGAGCATTTTCTATTGACAAGTTTTAGAATTAGTCTTTCTGTCAATAAAGAAGATAGTTTATACTGAGAATGATATTGCAGTTTTTAATTGTTTGAATATTGAGAGGGGATGAAAAATTGTAGCAAAGAATTAAGCAATTTATGTAAACTTGAAAAATATTGATGTATGTTGATATTTGCAACTGATAACCTGATGTTATAAATAAACTTAACTCCTCTTTGTAAATGAGAGAAAAGAGAAAAATCAGAAAGAAGTCCTTCAATAAATAGTTATCCATGACAGTAAGGATATGTAGTGGAAACTGTGTCTGTGGTGTAGTGTGTTCAATGAAGTTCTGTCGAGGAAAGTTAATAGTAATGAATCATGATATTTTTTATTATCATTTAGACTTTTATTGTTCTTATTTGTTCATTATTATTATTATTATTGTTATTATTGTTGTCATTATCATTATTATTACTACTATTATTATTATTACTGTTATTGTATTATTATTATTTTATCATCATTATTAGTATCATTATTAATGCATTTCACAGCATTGCTTCTAGTATTTGTTACTAATGACATAACAGCTAAGAGAAGCCGCTAAACGTATGGGTTTCTTGCGAATATCTCACGCATTCCTTTAACATTCCGTAGAATATAGGCAATTCTATCTCTTCATTCGCGAGTTAAAGCAAAAATGTACATTGTTTGTTCTCTCTTTATTTTATAAGGGATACTTGGAATCATTCTAATCAGAAATGTCCATTGTGTTAATGCGTGCAACACTTTGACAATCGTATTTTTTAAGGCTAATTTTCTAATGTGATAGATTGTTTGTATAAAGCCGTTTTTTAGTGATATAATTTTTTTTTTTTTAATTTTTAAAAAAGTTTTAATCACAGTTCTGTCATACTTACTTGGGATACTTAAGGTATTTTGTAATTATGTTACTTTTTTTTTTGTGAGAACTGTCTTGTATTTTGTTCTAAGAAAGAAGGAAAGTACATGCCACACTTTTTCTTTTCTTTTTTTTGTGCATTGTATAATGACTTAGGTGCCCAAATGTGCAGTTTTAACTTTATGCCTGAATGTGTTTGGTGTATTTTGTTCTATTACGGTGACTGTCCCCAAACTAAGCTTGCATCATAGAATGGATTCAACGACCAGAATAATGAGCCTCCGATGCCAAAATAACATTCATTAAGCGTCAACTGAGCGGAACTGTTGACATTTCTCTCTGGCTTCGTAGTTGTAGAAAGAAGGTTGAATTAGAATGGCTGAGTCCACAGATGTTGATTAACGTTTCTTTATTGCATCTTCACTTTAATGAGATAACACGAAACTGTTCACTCTGATTCGACTCCATTTTCTACACGTGTTACAGTGAACTCTGTTCTCGTGAAACGTCCAGGTAGTTAGTTTTCTGGTCATTCTCATCAGCTCGCGCATCAAACTCCGTTATAATCAGCCGAGCGCCTTTTGTTGTGTATGTCGATGTAGCTGATGAAGAGCCCAGCCAGTCTCGTCATGCATTTGTTCACACATTTTGTTGTATTTTTTCCCCTCTCTTTCTTTCCTTTTTTTGTTTTTTGTTTTAGTTTAGCATTTTGCAAGAATTCACATTGGTGCTCCCCAAGGTTAGCGAACAAGGGTCTAGGGAAGGCTAGCTTATCAAAAGGAAAACTCCATTCTCACCCAGGCTTCATTGCGGAAGTACATTATGACGTAGTTTTCCTGGTCTGTCATAGTATGTAAGATGTGGGAAATGAACGTGACTATGAGTTAAAAAAGAATAAAACATGAAAAAAAATTCTACTGGTGCCAAAAAAGCAGTGTCTTTGATATAATTTATGGTGGTATTTCCTCTGGTTACGTAGAGTCTTACACAAAGTGGAATGATTTATGTGTATCACAAGATATACCTATGAAAGTGATCCAATTATATGTATTTCTGCAATACTGATGCATTTGTCTTTGTTTAGTAAATATAGAGTTCTCTGTTATAACATGCCTCTGTACTCCGTCCCTATCTCCCTTGTTTTTATTTCTTTTTTTTATTATCTAATATGAAAATTTTATTATAATATACCTGTAAATATTGTTTGGGTTTTTATTTACCAATGCCTGAACCACCTGCTCTTTTAAGACAGACCTTTTTAGTCGCATGGCAGCGCGAGAGAACTTCAAGAAGCGCTGGTAGATTTCTACCGTTCCCGTGACCCTTGTAGTCTGGCCTGTCATTTAATGTTGCATGACTTTACTACCATAACCTTGGTGCTGTGGGACCTTTGAGGAAGGAATAATGTGCCCCCATACCCATGTCTTCCTCTGTCCCTCCTTTGTTTTCCTTTTTACTGTTATTTCTCTGCTACCTCTGCCGATGTCTATTGTCTATTTAGTTCTGGTTGGTATTGGTACTCTCTCTGTATTGCTCTCTCTCTATCTTCTTCCCTTTATCTCTGTTCCTCTTCCTTGTCCCTGCCCCTGTCCCTCTCCCTTCCCCTGTCTCTTTCTGTGGGTTGAGGGCCTGTCACATGTTTTAACATCAGGCATGGCTAAGTACATTGCCTTCCATGCACTAAGGTACTTTCCC